ATAATGGGTTTATGAGAATTTCCTAAACCCTTATATGGGTTTATGAGCATTTCCTAAACCCTTATAATGGGTTTATGAACGTTTCCTAAACCCTTTGCTCAATCCCATCCGTACTTGGTGACCGTCATAAACCATTTTGAGGGTTAATGTAAGGGTTTATTGATTTCCTAAACCCCTTCATATACCCTTACTAAGGGTATATCGAAGGGTTTATGATTTTCCTAAACCCTTAAAAGGGTTGTTGAAAGTGTAACGTATAATAAACCCTTAAAGGGTTTATGAACTTCCTAAACCCTTTCCTAAACCCTTTGAAAGGGTATATGAAAGGGTTTAGGAATTTCCTAAACCCTTTAATAAACCCTTTTTAAGGGTTTAGGAAAATTTTCCATACGGTAAAAAGGGTTTATTATACGTTACACTTTCATCAACCCTTTTTGGGTTTATTATTCTACGAATTTTTTTTACAGTGATACGCAAGTGTCTTAAAACGGGGCGAAGATCTAGATAAGAAGTACCGCAAACTACTTGTGGAGCTTAAAGCTAGACAAAAATCCAGCTGTGTAGCAAGATTGTACCTGCCAGCTGAAATGGGAGGATATGGTCTCAAATCGATTAAGGACGCCATAGAGGAGTCCACCATATACCTATGGGCGTATCTCTGTACGAAAGCAGAATTAAAAGGATCATTAAATCTGTTTTTGGGAATGGTTAACCGGGGGAAACGATGTGTAGTTAGTGATGCAGGCAGCATTATAAAGGCATATGATATAGACTATAAGTTGGAAGAAGTGCGTTCCACTGTCATTATAGATGGTGCTTCTTTTAACGACGCAAGAACATTAGCAAGACACGTGGTCGGGCTAATGCGTACTGTCAATAACAACGGACGGTACAAAACATGGAAAGAATTAGAGCTAGCAGGACGTGTTCTACGTTCAAACTCTAGCATGGATATGATAGAGTCCTTTACTTGGCTCAAGCAAGGGAAACTATCATCGGTAGCGGTAAGGAATGCTCTAGCAGCTCAAGAAGGATGCTTAATAACGCGCACACATCCTTCACAAGCAAATTCGAACGATAAGAGTTGTAGGGCGTGTGGGTGCCATCTTGAAACAATTGAGCATGTCCTTTCAAGTTGTTCCAAGTGGTTGTCGAACCTATACATCGACCGTCACGACTCAGTTGCTAGAAACATACACTATAGAATATGTCAAAAATACGGCTTTACTCCTGCACACTACTCACAGAAAGTGGAATCGGTTTTAGAGAATGAGAGGATAAAGTTGTATTGGAATCAACCCGTACAAACCAAAACGATCATTCGCCATAACAAACCAGATTTGATAATCTTCGATAAGCCAGGAAAGACAGCCTTGATAATCGAGGTTGCAATATCATGGTTTACTGGTATAGAAAGACAGGTACAAATAAAAACAAATCGTTACTGTGTCAATGGTAATTGGGAAGAAGTTACGAAACTGCCATACCCAGTAGGAGATAATTTACTACGTGAATTACAAACTGCTGGATGGAAAGTTTCCTTCTTACCGGTGGTCCTTGGCACATGTGGCGAAGTGCTTTCGAACCTAAAAGGAGATTTAATGGAAAAAATTGGCTTAACTCAGGTAGCAACTGCCGACTGTCTCGAGAGAATGCAACGTAGTGCGGTTTTGGGAACGAGCAGGATCATTAAAAATCACCTTGCTGTAAGATAAGGAAATGGTGATGTCTAATGACCCGTTGTGCTTGCACATGCGGAATTAATCAATGATTTTTGGGAAAAAACAAGAAAGGTAGTGATTCTAACATCGGGAAAAGTCATTGAAGACCCTTGTTCCAAATATCATCTTAGGAACATTGTAGCTGAGAGTGAGTAACTCCCGGTATCGGTGGGCTAAACCCCAGCGAGTGTCTAAAACGGCCGAGGCGACTCGGAAGTGTCATGTAGGAGTGACGCGCATGAAAAAACCACACAAACATTGCTGGCTTTATCAGCAGATGATTTATATCAACTTCCTTAGTCACATTGTTGTTCGAACTGATTATAATATCGCCGTAAGTTGAAAGTGAGAAAAATGAATATGTGTTTGTCAAGAGGAACAGAATGGATTTTTCTGAGTTTCTGGAATTTCAACCAAACATTTTTTATTTGCAACGCTACATAAAAAGCATCTTCGAAACCCGTTTATGAGAAACAGGTCTTTTTTCCTCAAACGACACTATTTAAACTATCGTAATATAAAAGAGAAATGAATGCATAAAAAACGAATAGTGTGAACTTGATTAACTAAATTTTTTGGTCAAGTTTTAAAAGTTATTGATATTATGATAAAGACAAAGTTAGAGTATTAGTTTTATAATGTCTTCAATTCATTTAGAGAGGAAAGATTTGAAAAGAGTATGGGCATGCTTATGGTGCGTAGATATTGGTATAAGTATAGGTTTTCTCTTAATTCCGACCACCAACAGTCACCATCACATCCTAAGAAAGCAATGTCTTCTTTCCGATTGTACGAGTTGGGGACTATGTCTGAATTGGATGACTGTCTTTTTATTGCAAGAGTATAAAAGAAGAAGAAGAAATATTTGGACAAATGAGCTCATCTAGCGATGTGTTAGTGATTAAGAGGTGTTTTTTCGTGGTATTTTTGTAACATTAATATTCGAATAAGCGTGTGCTGTTTGGGGTCTTTGGCTATTCTGTTTCTCTTCAATAATTGATCCAAGAGGAGCAGTGTTCTTGTTTAATTTCAGCTTTTTTCTACTTGCTGATATGCGTTCAACATGAATACTTGATTTTGGTGACATGAGATGAGACAGTGACAAATCGATAGTTTCAATTTGCGATGGTCGTTGTTCATTCGTTGACTTTTTTTGACCAGCTGAAGGTACATGTTTCACATGTACTTTATATTCTTTAGTCTTTGATGATGGACATGCCGATTGTCGAACTCTATCAATATCATCCAATCGAATCGTACTATCAATAATCGATTGACGAGGATGCAGTGATAACAATGAATCTTTTTTTGTCACTTGTGCCGTTGGCACTCGATTCACTCGAACACGATGAACAGCTCCGATGCTGTTGCGTCTCAACTTCGTATTCTCAACAGGTTCTGGGACATTATACGAAGGTAATAAACCACACGAACTGCGTCGTCGCCCCTTTGCGCATGAGTTAATGCGGGATACTTTTACATGATCACGTGTACCCGATTGAATTCGAGAACAGCTGATTGCATCATCGTCTGCTTGAAGAATCGGTGATTTAATGCCTGGATTGGCTGTACTGAGTGGTCGTTCTGCCACTCGAACTTTCGAAACTGATACATTGGGGGTCAGCTTTCGTTGTAAATGATTGCTCGATAGCAATACCGAATCATTGCCTTGACTACTGACCGTAACTGATAGATGCGGATTTTCATCAGAATATGATGTTGTACTTGTTAATCGACTTAATGGTAACAATTGAGTTTTATTCCAGTTACTCGAGCTCTCGTTGAACAAATTGTAAATAGCACAGTCAGGACTGACCATGGTGAGAGCATCACTGTAATCTGAAATATGATGCCAAGGACAATTTCGATCGGTGCATCGATCAATATAGTAGAGTTCAAAACAGTTTGGATGTTTCAATAGACCACCGGGACCAGATCGACGACTGAAATAGAGGAAATATCATATATGAGTAGAGCATATTGTTTATACTAACCAACAACAGCACCAACAAAGACAAGAAGTCAAAGCCAATAACCCGAAAAGAGCCAAACCAATCATGCTGCCGATTAGTGGCCAACTGACTGTGTTTGCTAAGAAAAATGAAAATACATTCGCATAACAATCATGCTGATCAATCTAGGTATACATTTCGTTGTTGTCGTTGCTGTTGTTGATGTTGTTGATGTTGACGTCGTTGTGGTTGTCGTTGTTGTTGTTGTCGTTGTGGTTGTTGTTGAAGTTGTCGAAGTTGTTGTCGTGGTCGATCTAAAGAGAAAGAAATATTTTATTTGTTAATAAGAATCTAAAAGAAGCTGACGTTGTGCTTGTTGAAGTAGTCGTCGTTGTCCTAGAATGAATTTTAGAACTTGTAAAAATAATCAAGCAATTTTCACAATCTCTATTTACGTGGAAGTTGTTGAAGTAGTTGATGTCGTTGAACTAAATAGTAGTGATCAGTATTTTAATGTGAAAGATGAATTTTCTACTTACGTTGTGGCACTAGAAGTTGTCGTTGATCTAAAGAGTATGAATAATGAAAGTGAATATCAATGAAAAAAAAAAAAATGCTACAGACGTGCTTGTAGTAGCGGTAGAAGTTGTAGCACTAGTTGACGTTCTGAAACAAATATATCAATCAAAACAAGTCTAAAACCAATGATTTTTCTCAACTGACGTTGTCGTTGTGGTGGTGCAAATATCACCAGGACATGCGCAGACACCATTTGTCGAAACATAGAATTTGAAACAATATTGTGCTGATTGTGCATTTTGACTAGGTAAGTATAGATGAATTTAGTTATTCACGTTTTATATGAATTTCATACCTATCGAAAGCCATCGCACACATAACTTGATAGCCAAGTTGAGACGAGGTTGGTGTCCATGAAATCGTTTTGTAGTAAGTTGATGTATTGAATGCGGCGAGATTTCCTTTTACAATACCAGGAAATGATAGTGTTGAAATATCTTCAATGGTTACACTTGGTCCACAATTGTTGATTGCAATCAACATCGAACTAAATGTTTGACCGACTGTTATAGGTACACATGAGTCTTCAAGCGGTATTCCATTAATTTCTGGATCATTAGCACATGGCGATGGGCCAACAACATGGACGAGAAATTGTACGGGTACCGCACTGAGTGGAGTAGTGCTTGTTGAAGAGATAAAATCTTCGACCTAGAGATAAAAGGTAAATATGAATGACAAAAGAAATTATACATAGACTCGCCATGATTGTCACAGCAAACCAGCTATCAACAGTACGTCCAGTGATGATAATAGTACAATTCGGATAGATGACAGTACCTGATGGTAGTGAACTGGGTGGGCATACACCACCGCATTCATCAACACCATTTGAAGATGTCGACCAGCGGCAACGTGTCGGATCACCGTCGGCATCAGCGACGGGTATCGTAATAACTGTTGGTTGATTGACAGGAATTTCGATCGGAGACATCATAGTTGCCACAGGAGCACTGTTATATAAGCCATTATCGGCTCTTGGTTTGACAATGATATGTGTTGAGATCGACCAGTCAGCACTTGAAGCTGTTGCTAGTGGACGCCATGCAGTTTTTTGAAAAGCAGCAGAAAAATCGTCGCCAGTTGGCAAATAGACAATATCGGAACGCTGTCCAACAGTGGTACCAATTGGTGCTGAAATATCAGTGCATTGCGGTCTAACAAGTGGAGCAACGTAACCAGTTGCGCCAGGGTTGCAATTACTTATGCAATCAAGTGTTTCAGTGTTCAGATAAGTATATGTACCAACAGGAATCAATTGGCCGGTAGCAATTTCGGCTGTGGTACATGTGATCAGTGAATATGTCCATGAATAGGTTTGAGTTATTACAATCGCTACTGGTGATCCAGTAGCAGATTCATTCAACGGATGCCACGTAACAGTTCCACCAAGAAAATGTGACCCATAGACAATGAATATTGAGGCATGCAGTAATGCCAAAAATAAAGTGAGCGTCATTCTCAATGATGATTCTTCGAAAGAAAAGTAATACTTCAAAAGAAAATGAAAAGCAATCTATCGTTAGTAGGTCAAGATTTTATTGTTTGCATTTGTGCATAATCACAATCGTAAGAAGAAAGAAAAAAAAATTGATTCATTCTATTGCATGTTCGTGCACAAGAATGTTATAATCGAATTTTTGATCGCAAACCAATAGAATATGTTTGCAGGCCCTCAACAGAGTAATCTTTCTATTGTTAATACAATGAAGCCAAACAAAATGTTTTGAATAAGATCCACAGATCAGAATAAAATAAAGCACTGCATGAAAGAAGAAACATTTTTCTTTTTTTCTTTATTATTCTTTATCGTCATGTTTAATGAGAGAAGCCGAATAATGCCCAAAACATATTACCTACACACGCTCACAACAACCATGTAAATTTCATTATAAAAAAAAACAATATTGATTTCAATGCTTCAGCATTACATCAAAAATCTTTTCTTTTTCAGAAGTTCTATAGCAACCAATTGTATTTTATGTGGAGCACCATTCAAAAGTGTTTAAGCCAGATCTCCTAATGACGTGACTAGGACTAGGGAAACGTCAATCGATAGATTATCAATTTTGAACCAATCCAACATATGATTTCTATTTCAGAAGTTTTCTTGTATAGTCCAACTCATAGACAGGACAAATCGTCTATGGATACTCACAGAGCGTTCGTTTAGTCAACTGCTTGTTTTTTTGAAAAGATAGTTAGCTTGGATGTGGGTGATGGATGTGGTGTTGGTCTCATAGACACCCACACCCACACCCAATGCTGATGAACTATGAGTGGTTTTGCTTTAAGTAGGTTTTTTGCAGATTTCAACAGCCACTCAGTATTTTGTATTTGTCTCCGTGAGGACTTTTTCAAATGACAAAAATAATAATCTCATATTCGTGATCAGACTACAACACTGAATCTAGAAATGAATGTTTGAGCTAAAAATACAGATTACTATAATTTTTCATCACTTGCACCTTGAATTTATTTTAAATTTTTTACTATATAAACGTTCTAAAAATTGAGATGAAACGAATCAAATGTTGCAATATCTCCTATTCAAAGTTAAAAATAATATATTTTTATATTTTAATAATGTGAAATAACTACCCAATAATTCATTAGTCTGAAAAACATGAAATAATTATTGTAATGCTCGTCCTGGGCAATACTGTGTTTCCGTGTGTGTAAATACAACAACAAGCATAACGATTGTGTCTAAACTAAAAAATTACCGTGTTTTTCTTCATTTCTAGTTTTATTCCGATTAATTTCAGATTAGTTCGTTTTTTTTCTTAACGTACAGATATTTTTATGATGACAACTGCACAGAATTCAAACTTTGCTAATGAAGATATGAATAAACTTTTATCAGTTTCTGTACGAACTACTAATCATCGAAGTAGAAATAATTTGCTTGCAACTATGCGTGTTAAGTCACATGGAACAATCGTTTGTATGAGAAATAGATTCCTAGATTTTCAAGTTTCGGATAATAGATATCATCAAGCAGATTTTATTCGTATACCACCTGATGCATCTGTTATGACGGTTGTAGAACATTTGACTCAAGTATGGTTTCCTAAAGTAGGTTGCTCAAATTTTCTTTGAAAAAGAATTGTCTTTTCTTGATTACTTAGCATCCAAAACTTGTCACATCATATGTGAAACTCAAATTATTAAGGGCATTTCAAGATGACCTTCTTAAAGTTGCTCGAACCACAGGTATTAAAAAGTGAAATAGTTTTAATTTAAAAAAAAAGAAGTTAATAGAATGTCAAGTTTTTGTTTAAAAATTATCAGCTGCATTGAAATATGAAATATGATAAGCTGCTAAATTTTAGTTTAATATTCTCTAATCTGTGAGTTATTATATAAGTTACATGTATAAGGTTTAGAAAGGAGATAAATAATAGATTATGACATTCTAACTGTGAAATTCAATACTTGTTAATAAAAATAATTTTTGTCATTGATTATCTGATCGAGAAAAGTGCCTTTGTTTAAATACACTGTTCATCGAAATACTTTCGATAAAAAATGATTAGTTGCAAGAAAATTGATTGAAAAACATTTCGTTGAGAGTTTTTTGACTGAGAGATATCTCATCAAAAATTATTATCATACTAATATGAGTTGTTTATTCTTTTATATTTCGTATAAGTGTTATTTTAATATTACTTACTACAAGTGTCAATGTCTATTAAATTCACAAGTAAATTAAATTAACACTAGTTTAAATTTGGTGTGCTATACAATATTTGCATTCAACTGATAGTAAGACATGTCAGTTATCATAATATGAACATAATGGTTCTTTTTAAAGTTCGATCAGAGGTTTTCAGGATTTAAGAAATCGAATCTATAATTGGTTTCTTGAAAATCTATAAGTTTTATATTTTCTTTAGGGAATCTACATTCACAAAAATAACGATTTCTTATAAAATTTCATTAAATATAGGGGTGTCAATTTCCTATTAATTTCAATTTATTTTAATATTTAAATTAAAATTTCTAACAATTTAATTTGGACGTGGGTATGAGTGTAGCTTAATTCTTCCTCCATCCACCCACACTCACACCCACACCCACCTAAATAATTAGATAGGTTAAGAATTGAGCTCCATAGATCGTTTTAGTCTATATACATATATATATCAAATGTGAAAGTTCAATTCATTTATTTAACTATTGAAAAATTGAATAGTTGAATTCAACTATTCAATTATTTCAAAAAGTTGCACTTCAAATATTCAAATATTCGAATATTCAAATATCCGAATAGTTGAAGTTTAAATATGCAAGTAATCAACTATTCGAATATTCAAATACTCAGATATCCAAATATTTAAATATTCAAATATTCGAATATTGAAATAGTCAAGTAATCAAATAGGCAAATATTCAAGTATTCGAATAATTGAAGTTCAAATATTTTAGTAGGCAACTATTGAAATATTGAGTTATTTGAATCACAAAAGTAAAGATACTCGACTATTTAGCTGTTCGAAAGGACCGACACACGGCAAAACACGCACACCAGGTGTCGGGTGTGGGTGTGTACGTTTGGGTGTCTGTCATCCATCGATCCACATCCAGCCACACTCGCTCCAACTCACACCTCATGCCTAATTACACCCACACCTTAATGCTCATCTTGGTATGATTTACTCTACCATAATGTTCATGACTACCTAATATAGTTATAATGATTATAATCATACTTGATGATGATCCGAGAAAGATCAAGACTTGTCGTATGATTTCCACAAATCTTTCGTTTCACTTCTCTAAATACATCCTCACATCTACACCACACCCTATAATACGCATGCGTTACTAATACAAAAAAATATTAAATTCACTGCTTATTGCTATTGTGTACGCGTTTCAAATGAAGCACTTTCTACTGCTAGTAATCGAAGTTAAAGTAATGAAAAGTATAACAATTCAACTAAGAGCACTCTTTCTAACGAGTTTTTATTATGGTTGTAGATATTTTCTCACTGTGTCTTCTCACCAGTATCTAAGTAATACGGTGAATTGTTAAAGAAATTCCATGCCTTGCTAATGTGTAATTAGGACAAAGCGCAAGCCTTCCTTGTATTAGTTTCGACCATACTATCACAACTGATATGCTGGACACGTATAGTCTTCTAGCAAATCTCGTGCTGAATTTGTTTTCATAAACCCACTATGGGCAACATATATTATGTTGATTTTTTCAAAGAGCATGATAATATCACGTTGTCCAACGTCAGTTAATTGTATTGTACACTTAAAAAAGTCAACTCTAGTTTGATTGTATATTGAATTACATCGATGAGCAAATGGATAACAATTACCCTTAAATCTTTATTTGATAAGCAGAAACTACCATTGATGACACTATATGTTAATATAGCATATTAACTATATACACTCGTGAGAAAAAGTGTTTCTTTCTCTCCCTACCTTCTCTCTCCATATTCCAGGTCATTTGGTTTTGGGAGGAGGAGGTTTTTTGCCGCGGGTGTATATCTTAGCTCTCTTCTCTTGAATAATATGATGTCGAAAATATTTTTGTCTTCTCTCTTTTAAAAGTATATATATATATAGAAGTAGCATGTATGATCAACGAAAAGAATAAAGTCATTTTATTCTCGCATTGCTTATAATTGTAAAAACGTAGGTAAGTTCGATTTTAATCGTTTGATCAAGTTTCAAGAATGATTAGTTTCTTATTTTGACTTCTTTTTTCATCAACAGATAGAAAAATAGTTCATCATTCTTCTACTCTCTAAATAATTTCTCTTTCGTTCTGTTCTATTCTTTCTTCAATCCACGGATAAAGTTTTGAAGAAACCAAACAAACAATCTGACTTTTGTGGTTTTAAAAATTCATGGATAACCGCAATTTTTTCTTGCCACAATGTGAAGCGGCTTTGAAAGCCGAATAAACGGTTTGATCCTAAATTTGTTGTCAAAGCCAAATAAGCTGTTCATCGAGGGACGATGTAGTGAACTTATCTAAGTCTTATTACCATAAAGTTACTTTGCACAGAGAGAGCTATTAAAAAAATTTCTTTCAAATTTCTTAAAAATAGTTGAGCACGACACCCTCGTCGGTTTTACACATTATATCACGCTTAAAAAATGCACTGTACGAAGTGTGTAGTGACACAAGTAGACATTATATGCATATCAATATCAAAAACTGCGGCTTTATGAAAAACTTACTTTCCAAAAAAACTTGATGGCCTATATCGTGACTATAGCTATAACTATACTCTCGGCATTTGATGCTTGACAAAGCTGCAGGATAAGATACTGCGGTTATAATTGGAATCAGCTCGTTTTCTAAAACTGCTATTCACAACGATATTTAACACTAGTGTGCTTTAGTAATACTGAGGTAGGATTCGAAAAATCGCAGTTTACAGTGTTTTTTTTTGAAAAAAATCTGCCGTGGTGAGACGATTTACAGTTAGACTGCTGATACACATTCAGCAGAAAAAATTTTGGCATCGTTAATTATAGAGGGAAAGAGTTCAAAATAATTAGAATTTCAATTTTGTACTACTTAAACAAGTGCTCGTCAGACATGTGCAACGAGAAGTACCATTATCAGGATGATAACCAACAACATAATATAATTATGAATCAATATTTACACATTACGTACAAACTCTTTCTGAATATAGATATAAGTTGGATTACGTAGTCTTATGCTAGTAAAAAAATAGGCGTTTGAAAAATTCGTGGACGCAAAAAATTTATTGCACTCCGAATTGTTTTCCGGAAAAGCATTGCTGCTTCTCGTAGTATAGTTGTGCTGTCTATGTTGAATATTGTGGTTATCAATGAGAATACAGTGGTTTTCATCGATTGTTTTCAAAACCTTTTCTCGTCGGTAGGTATAATAGAGAGGTCAAAACCATTCGTCGAGAAATATATTTGTAATACGATAAAGTTGTTCTGTAGTCAGAGCTTTTAACGAAGGAAGTTTTCTTGGAATACGCTTATAACTATAAAAATCACTTCAAGTCTTCAATAGATAAACAAGCTACAGAAAAACTTTTCAATAAAGAGAAAAGTTTGTATTCACTCTATTGCAAAGATGACGGTGTAACTTCTAGAAAAGCCTCCAAGCTTTCGACACATTCTGCTTCTTATAGAATATTGTTGTTTTTTTCGATCAATACCCTTAAAATTTCTAGATTATGCACTGATTAAAGTACAGATAAACTTAGTATTTTGAATTGAGTAGAATATTGATCAGTATGTGCAATACGAATTGTAGATTTTGCTAAGTATTAAATACTTGTTTGATGATTGCTCGTTCTCCATTCGCTCGAGCTAATACTTGGATTGATTCGCGTATCACAATATATATTCATCCAAATCAAGTTCGTCAGTTATTTGAAACATAAAACTTGAGTTTCTTAGTATACAAACAATAGACATGAAATCTTCTAACCACACAATATGTATTGCTGTGTTATTATGTGATCACGTATTGTAAATAACATTTGTGAATTTGACTACCTAATACGTGAGACAGAAGATATTCATATTGACAATTTTCAAAAACAAAAAAAGAATATCCAATGTAGAAAGGCGGATAGATCTCGACTTTCGAGAGTAGATTCTCACAGTCTGAGAAAGCAATATTGTCCTTAAAATTAACATACCAAGTAAAAATAAGTGCACAAATATCGATCGCTGTTTTTCTTCGATAAAAGGGTGCTGAACATAAACTTTTTTTTATCAAAACATAGAGCCTTTTTCCTTCTTCCGAATGATATATGATTCATATTTTTTACCCATCAATAAATGAAGTGAGGAGAGAAAAAGAAGCAATCACGCAAGAGATGTGTAATTTTTATTAGAAATCGTCGAAAATATCTTGTAGACGGTAATTTATTGTAATACACTGTCATTTTACAAGATGTTTTTAATGGATACATAGAAGTCGAATTAATTACTGTCTAACAATATCCCTTTTTTTCTTCTGTCATATGATATATGAACGTGTGACAAATATAAATCAAATACTGTTCGAAAGAGGAGAAATTTTTCCTATCGACTGATACAAAAACGTTCTATTCAGAACCCATTCATCAAACAGATATAGGAATCAACATTTTGCACTGTTTCTTCTAGATCTCAACAAAAGTGCGGATGCTTTTTAAGGGTGCTTGCCTTTTCTGTTGCATTGTTTAGTCTGTGAACATGTTATAAAGATTTGTTATGTACG